GTAGTTCTTGTGTTACCATAGCAACTGTAGAATCACCACAACAGATTAATTGGTGTAGTTCTTGTGTTACCATAGCAACTGTAGAATGATCACAACAGATTAGTTCAAGTATTTTAGTATGGCTCAAAAACATTGCATCGGCCATAAATTACTATAGTATTTTATAATTATAGTGTTTTTGTAACGAAAACTTTTTGTGTATCTTTTAATGTAACCTTCAGTCTCAGAAGTCATTTTAATTTTACACATTTAAAAATATCTGTTGTCTGCTCCAGTTCAAATACACTATGATCAAAAACACTATGTATTCAACTGACTATGGTATTGTCTGACATGTGAGAGAAAGCCCTCCTGCTCTTCAGAGTTAAAGAAAGGACGTGTTTTTCTTGAGTCTTCAGGGACGGTGTGTGTTATTTAATTGACCAAATTACTGAGCAAAGCCAAGGCTGATTTTCACATTCACAGAGGACTATCAGTGGCTGCGGTTTGTTCAGAGGAAGAAGAAAGCATGACTCGAGTCTGTACTGCAGTTTTTGTGTTGTCGGATCACACAATTACTGCCTCCAGGAGGGAAATCGATCGGCTCTGGATCGTGGGAAACATCTGTATAGTTTAGCTGGCCGGCAGCTGCAGAGCCGTGGAAATTACCCAGGATTATTGGTTGAGAGGATTTCCTTCCTCTGTACCTGCATGCAACGCTCTTCAGCGCAGAAGTGAGGCAGTGTGAGCGACTGCTTTTCAACACGGCTCCACAGGCCTCCATGAAAAAGCTTTGCTTTAAATAAACATGTGCGGGTTTACACTGAGAGAAAGGGACTTTGGCTCGCAGGGCCCTGTTTTAAAGAGCCTATTATGCAAAAAAAAACACCTTTATAAGGTGTTTAAACACAGTTGTGCAGCAAAGGTGTGTAAATATAACCAGCTTCTAATGGTAAAAATGTATTAATAATTTTTTAATAGTCAAAATTTGCATGTGCCTTTGTATGTGTCATCAGAGACAGAAAGCCCCACCCACTAGTGACCATCTCTCACTCATTAGCATAAACAGCCCTGAGTGAGAAGCAGCCATATTGAATCTGCTGTTATGCTAACACATAGGCATTTTAGCTCCACCCTTTTTTTCCCCAAAATAGTGTAATTAATCGCGTATGGGTGCTGCTTGCAGTGTTTGTTTGTGTCCACACAGCGCACTTATGTGTCCTCACAATCATATTTTTCGTGCTTGAGTTTATAATTTGCAACTTTCTTCAGGTGTACAGTCATGTCATTTGCTATTGAGCTCTTTCATGGACTCGCATTGTATCGTTTAGCCATATTTAACACCATATTTATAGTATGATTATAGGACACAGGTTGCTGCTTGTGCTGGTATACAGCGAACATCTGAGAGGAAAGTATCATCTAAACTCTTCTGTAGACAATAGAGATGCATCATCCTCAAGTGTCAAGATGAACACTTTGTGTTGTTCAATCTGCATAGCAGTTTATAAAAGGGGAAAAATCAAAAGAGCTCTGAATAATACCGGACATCTAGGCCAATACAGGACATTTGGCAACCCACACAACTGAGTCTGTAGACATCAAAACAGCTCCTGTGAGAGATAAAGATAAAGCTTTAACTAATCTCCATCTTACAAGGACTATCAGAAAAAACAGTGTTTAATGTACAACATGCTCTTAAAACATAAATGCCTTAATATTTTGCAAAAATGTTGTTCTGTCTGATGTAAAAGTTCTTGTATAATCTGTCTTGGGGTATCTTTGAAGTTTTACTGCTAAAGTAGAAATGACGAAAAGAAAAATAGAAATGTCAATGACTCAAACTCAGCAACTTTCATGACTGAAATCTACAGACATGGGTAAAGGAATTAAACTGAATACTTGAATGTGTGTTTCAGATCTAAAATATTGGATCTGAAATAATGATCTGAACACCTATAAATGCTCAATTAACGATATATTACTATTCAAGCAAAATTAAACAGTGGATGAAATCCAGTTCTGTTCATTAAGAAATCATTCGACTTGTGTGTCATTGTTTGGTGAACAGAGTCCTCTAGTGGACAGAAATAAACACAACAGATCTGTTAAACAGCAGTGATTTGTAATGCGAGAGAAGGGAAATGATTGGGATATTTATTAGTATTTTATTTTTATTATTACTCAAATATCTCTATTATTTTTCGTTATTTTCAATTTTCAGTTCTTTTTAAACATGTTTTATTAGTTTTTTCCCTTTTAGTCATTCACAAAACAAAAATACAAACACAACATAAAATGCCTGACACAAAACATAACTGCATATACGAAAATATACATATGGCCAAAGCCATAAGATATTATGCTACAAATAATACAATATGGCAGGAAGAGGGAGAAGTTTGATGAAAACACATGTGAATTAATGTCTGTACAGACATTATGTCATTACGAGTTTCAAAATGTCACATAAAGCAAGGTTTATATTGTGCAGATATCAGTTGTGGAGTGGCTGAGACATGTTAAGTATTACAGGGGGATAGTCTCTCTGCCATCCTTCATGGAAGGGGGCTTATCATTGATCCATGACATCTAAATGTTCTTTCTGGCAGCAAAAGTTAACAGGCAGAAAAGTCATTGTTCTTACTTGTTCCTAATTAGTTTGCAATTAAAACCCAGGAGAAGGGACAGAACGTCTATATCCATGTCCAGACCAAAAATGTTGTTTATTTGGGCTACGATTCTGTGCCGATAGGCCTGAATCACCTGACACTACCATGTGCAATGAATATAATCCCCTATATTTGATTTGCATAGAGGTGAGTGGATTGCACTGAATTTATGTCTTAATTGAGATGTGATATAAATTCTTTGAAGGTTCCCGAGTTGAATGGCTCTGGCCCTATTGCAAACTGAAAGCTTATTGGCTAGAGATCAATCTATCTCCCATTCTTCTTCCAAAATATCCACCCCAAGCTCTTTTCCACAAATTGATTTGAGATGGGAGTTACAGACAGTGTTATAAGAGGACAGGGCCTTAGAAAGGAGTTCTTATCGCTGCCCTGTAATAAATTCTGTTGCAGTTATCGTTTTTATTTTAAATAAAGATAAAATAAAACCGCTACATTTCTTAAATGTTGTTTTTTATTTGTATTTTTGTTTGTTTTTCTTTATTGCATCTCTTGTTTTTATTATAACATAACTAACATTTATGCATTGTAAGATGACATATGTAACAGTCATGGAAAAGTTAGCCGCATACTGAACCCAAAGACTACAGAATACAATATAAATTATATATAGGCACTCTGCTGTACACACACACACACGCAAATGTGGTTTTCTGCCCTCTTTTATTTACGTGAAGCGTGCGCGCTCCTGTGCTTGAAGTTCTTCCTGTTCTCGTGCGCCGCACTTCCGGTCGGCCAGACACGCCACTGTTCGATCTGTTACATGCGCACTGAGTGCCCGGAGCGGGGCGGATGATGATGGAGCGGTAAAGTTCACGGTAAGCTGTGGTAACATTTGCTTCATCTATTAATTTACACCGTCGCCGCACGTTTTTATTCATTTGGATTGAAGTTTCGGGCGAGTCTTTTGTGTGACAGCGCGCGCCTGCACGAGCCGTCATGACCATCACATTCACAACACGCGTATCAGTCCGTTAAGCTGATAATTCATCAGTCTACCGATTTAACGGCACACATGTTCGTCGGTTTAGCTGTACGGCGGATGTTTGTCGTTATTTCGTTGTGTTTTCTCGGTCTGTCACGCCACGTTCACTGAGATTCCGCACGCGCGTGACACGCTGGTCGGTTAGCAACGTGAGCGCGCAGAAGCAAGTCGGTTGTTTTTAAAATATGACAACATAACCGTGAGTTTAGCAAATATCTGAGCTAAATGTAATAGTACTGTGAATGTGGAAAAGTTTTTTGTGTTAGTGGGCTATATGGGGTTGATTAAACTCACTATTGGGCCCGTGTTGCATCAGAAAAGTGTTGTGTATCTGTCAGATCGTATGTCATGATAATGGAGTACTACAATATGTATTCATACCTGGAATAATACGTGCTTGTCTAAATATTAAAGTATAACTATGGTACAGCTCCTAAAACTACCACCATCCCATAACATGGTGTTGTGGTTAAAGAATAAAGGAGAGTGCTGATTCAGCCTGTGTGTGTCCGGTCATTTGTCTGTTGTTGTTCTGGAGAGGTCATTCATTATTCCTAGATATATATTAAAATTGAATTGCATTATCAACCAGCCTTTTATTATTTACATTCACATTGTAATTGAGAATAAATCATGTTCATGATGGTATTGGGTATTTGTTTTATTTATTAAGCATGTTTTAGTGCTTTTTAGGATTTCTTTAACCCTCAATGCAAAGTATTCTTAAGCTAAAATATAAAATAAAATAGTTTATTATAAAATATTCTCATAAATGAGTGAACTGTAAGAAAAGTTTTGTATGTTTTCATTGTTTTATCACTGCATCCCCAATCAAACACAGCTAATCCAACTAATTAAGGTGTTCAAGACTACTGGCGGACCTCCATTAATTGAGTTCGAGACCCCTGTTTTTTTATCCTGCTGTGGTTTGTCGGTGGGCAAACAAACACATTTTTTTAAATACAAGCGTAAAATGTTTGCATTTAGGTTTTTTTTTTTAAAAACATACTAGGCTTTTAGCAATCTTCTCTGTGTCAAAACAGACCTGAGCTCATTACAAAATTACATTTTAATCCTCTTGTAAAAAAATATTGTCTGAAATTATTATATTTACAGTTATAACATTAGCTGTTGCATGTCAACATTATATTTCCCAGTGCTGGGTTGCGGCTAATAAGGCATCCGCTGTGTAGAACTTTGCTGGAATAGTTGGTGGTTCATTCCGCTGTGGCTAATAAAAGTAGTCTGAATAAAAATGAATGAGTGTCAACATGATATTGTCCACTGATCACAACTTGCATTCTTAATAGTGTTGACTTTGATTTTGGTGTGTGTGTCTTTTTCAGATGTGTGTGTCCTGTGTGGAGATTTGGAATAAAGTGATCGAGGACAGCAGCTAACCCACGTATGGCCTGCGAGTCGGCGTTACCTGCCATCATGGACGAGCAGGCCCTCATGGGACTGAACCCCAACGCTGACGCCTGCTACAGGCAGAGGGTGAGCACAAAAAACATGCACATTGACAGACGCTAGCACAATTCACACACTCAAAGCTTGCATGCTTGTTTATGAGCTAGGCGTCTAACAAAAAAAAGAACACTTAAAGGTGTAGGGGGCTGTTGATTCATACACAACTTTTTAAAGAGACAGCAGCTATGTATACTGCTATTAAACAGGAAAAATACACACTTGATAGATAGCTACACAGATACTGTATTTGCATTTTGGAACAATCCAGTTGTACCGTATGGTAGCATAAAGGGTTTATTTCTGACTATTTAGCTGTGGAGATATTTCATTATAGTTCGCCCAGATTAGCTAATGGTACTAATCAGAAACATGAAGCCAGAGCATAATAGGGTTGGGCGATGTCGACTGATTTGGCATCGTTTGATGTATAATTTGAAACATTGCGATGGACAATGGCATCTTCGTCATAGGTGGAGGTGAATTAATTATTTACGAATAATTAATTAATTCATAACAAATTAATTATTTGGAGCCTACCGTTTCAACTACCTGATCCGCATGGTCTTTGTTTTACCCAATAACAAATAAATAAGTTGCACACAAATTACCACCTGTCAATTACTTTCCGTGGGATGTTGGTCGGTAAAAAAGGTGCACAACCAACAGTGTCTGGGGTTTTCACTGAAATTACTAAGTTCAAGTGTGAAAGTGAAAGACTGAAGCAGTGTACTGATGCTGTGACACGCTACCTGATAGATTCACAAGACCGAAGAGTCTATAGATAGAGTCAAGATTAATTAAATATCAAATTTAAGAACTATAGCGAGACACCATCCAGCGGTACATCCTTGATAAACTGTCCGATGTGCACTGCTCTCTCGAGCTCAGACGGGTGCATGACAGTGTGTGTGGCTGTGTGGTCACGTGATGTGCATTTTCACGGAGGACTGTTCAGAAATGTTAGGTGAAACACTGGATGTGAATCATTTTTGTTCTAAAATGGCATTTAAATACAAAGACGTATTAGTGTAAACAGGGCCTCAGTGTGTATTTTTGGCGATGCTGGCTCAGCATCGTGTTGTTTATTGGCCATCGGCGATGGACGATGACATTGTCTATCGGCCCAACCCTAGTACATAATGTTAATAAAGTTTTTAAGTTGAATTATTGCTAATATTACGTCAAAGTGAATTTAGTGGTCCATAACGTTGCTGGTGCCACAGCTCAAACCCTGCCCCCTTAGCAAAGGAAACTGAACCATGGCATTGGTGTATCTCCTATTATGAACAATTTTATGCAAATTTCAACCTTGTCATGAAAACAATAGTTTTCACTAAAATAACGAACCCTTTTTTAAGTTGTTTTTACAGTACTGTAAAATGCACAGAAATGTCTCTGGTCAATTAAATTGAATGAAATAGTTTGAAATTGTTGACAGACACAAGTAGCAATTTCACATGTTAAATCCATAATGGAGAGATGTCACATGCATAACACATTTTAAAAATCATAAATGTCAAATAAAATAATTATTTTTTTCTATTGACAGACAACACTTATCTATTTTGGGCTGTTCGGTTTAAAATATATGCAAATAGTTAAAAAGAAAGAAATTAGCATTTGTATATTCAGCAAAATTTAGTTTATTGATGAGCGCTCTATTGTTATTTTACAATTTATTATTCTATTTTATGCATTTGAATAATGCAGTTTACTGTAATCATAAAGCACTGTTTATTCTATCTGCATCTTTACTCTGTTTATCTATTCTTTTATCATATTTTATGTAAATGTACTTTCATACAAATTAATCTCAATCATACATTGCATCCTAATAGAGCTATTTAAGACATTTGGAGGAATTGTATTCATATCAGAATATTAATATTGCAGTAAAACAGTATTTTTTTCTATTATTATGCTGTATTATGCCTGTGAAAACCTCAATATCGCATCATTCTGTGTGTTTTCAGGCGCTGGCATATTTCGAGCAGTTAAAGGCGTCTCTGGATGGATGGGAGGTGTGCGCTGAAGCCCTCGCTAAAGGGGTTTACAGGTGAGATGCACAGAAATGTCAGATTAGGGTAGCGTTTACTCATGTGCCAAACTGGAATAGCATATTATTCACTATTATGTGCAACATTATTAATGTAATGTATGCTTTTCTTTGTCAGTGACGATCATGTGAAGTTCTTCTGCTTTCAAGTCTTGGAGCACCAGATCAAATTCAGGTATTAGAACTATTGCATGTGCAATAAGTGACATGTTGGCATCAGAATTAAAATTAAAATTAATTCTATTCAAATAAACTTAACCCAAAACCAACATTTAAACAACACTTAAATACAGCAATGTGTAAAACTTTTAAAAAAGGATTCATTTATTATAACTCATTTGTAACTGTATTAGTTCAGCTTTGGCAATTGACAGTACATTGATTCAGAGTGCATGTTAACTCATTACATTATTGCTGTCAAGCACAACTATGCAGTTTAATAATTTGTTAATTAATGGTATTAGATAACATTGCATACTGAGTAAATTTAATAAAGATTAGCTTTTATTGACTGAATAGCTTTATTGCACAGTAATGTTAACATTTGTTTAGCTTTTACAGTGACAATTGTGTACAGTATGCGCTGTTATACTTGATTATATTTTTGAGTTCATGTAACTAAAACACTACTGTTAGGTACATGAAAACCATGAAATTCACTGTTTATTTTAGTAGTATATTTGCTATATTGTATTACATTTGTATTGTATGTTTCTTGAGTTTTTGTTTCATCTTTATTTGACTTTTGTGGTAAGTGTTTTTTTTTTTTTTTGTACTGAATATATATCCTGAACTGTTCCGAAATTGACCTAAAACCACATCGAATCGTGAGAAATCTGTATTGTTGTTGCACCTCTAATGGACATGCGTTCTAACATGGACAGAGTCAGTTCAGAGAGTAAATAATGGAAGAGGAAAATGCAAAATACCATTTTTACATTTTAATGAAAAACAAAACATCCATGTTACAGAGACTATTTTCGTTTTGGTCCCAAACCTCAAAATCTTTAAAAATGGTTTAGTTGTTTCAGCATTGTGGTGCAAAGTGTCTTTATTTATAGTGCAGAGTGAATAAGAATCACAAAAACACAATTTGAAACATTCATTTTCTTTTCAGCTTAGTCCCTTTATTAATCAGGAGACGCCTCACAATTTTATACAGGGGTAAGTAAATGTATGCACACATAGGTAAGCGTGACTTCAATGCGCACCCTCTGATCAGCTAAAAGTAAAGGTATGCATTTAGGTGTGTGTGCTATAAAGTTTGTATGAGCTGGTCTGCTGCTGGCCAGTGACAATCTCCAACAAAACCTTGATTTCATGTTCTGGTTTCCACTATTCTTTCAAGAGGTTGACATGGTATGTTTGACTCTTCCCTTTATCTGGATGACATACCTCATAGCCAATAGGCTTCCTCCTCTATATGATTTCATACAGACCATGCCACATTGCCAACAGCTTGTTGGTGGAAGATGGCAAGACTAACAATACCTTTTAAACAGGTTGGTATTCTCTACATCTCTGTTTTTTGACTAGATGGTCAAAGTTCACCACTGACTATGAATATTCTAGTCACAACATCCACTTCGTGATCCTCCTCTTCTTGTGTCTCCACCTTGCAGGCCAACATAACATTCATTTCAGGTTCTTGGTTCTGCCGTTCTTTTAAGAGGTTGACATGGTATGTTTGACTCTTCCCTTTATCTGGGTGACATACCTCATGGGTAAAAGACCCCCTCTATATGATTTTATACAGACTCTGCCACTGCCACCTACAACAGCTTGTTGGTGGAAGATGGTAAGAGTTACAATGCCTTCTGACCAGGTTGGTATTCTCTGCGTCAGGAGCACTGATTTTTCTGAGCATTCTCCAGATTCTCCTGCACTTGTTCCCAGTACCAGGCGGCCTCTGATCTGTAAAAAAAAATCTAACTACATTAGTCTCTACTTTAGCTGGTGCTTAGTGCCTCCCAATTCCCTGTTTGAGAGTTTAATTAAATCTCAAACCTTTGATTAAACCTTTCCACTAATCCACTGGTATAAGCCAAACATGGACATAAAACATTAAAAAATGCGGGCCAACATAACCTTAATTTCAGGTTCTCATTCCCACCAGGTTTTACTCCTTTCAAGAGGTTGATAGGGCATGTTTGACTCTTCTTCCCTTTTCTGGGTGACAAACCTCATAGGTAATGGTATGTGCAAGATGTAAAATGAGTGGTCTGCAACGTTTATGACGGACAACATGTTTGTTGCAATAAGACAACACCTATAGTACAGCATTTTCTACCACATTTTTCTGCCCCAAGTGTCTCAATTTTCTTTTCTCCCTCACACACTGGCAAACAAAGATTTCAGTGTACCATCCTCAGCCTGCAGTTGTGCTATGTTTGCAGGAGTGTCAATTGACACATTTACAGACTGTATTTCTGCAGCTAAATCCACATACTATTCCAGTTTAATCAGTTCCTATGAAGGCAATTCTAAAGCCCTCTTTTTTTCTCTTTACTAACATAACAAAACCCTCCATCTAACTTCCTCCAAACCTATATACTGTGGATTTCTGTAACAACTTGGCTTCATTTTTCTCTTCAAAAAATTTAACACAATTATCAGCAAATTCTGTCCACTTCTATTTTGAATCCGTCTGTCCAAGTCATATTCACCGCTTCACGTTCATTCTCAGAATTTGTTCTACCCTCAGTAACTGAAATATGTAGTGTAATTCTTACATCCAAACCCTCTACCTGCCGGTTAGACCCCCTACCTACTACTCTTGTAAAGGCCATACTCCCTTCCCTGTCTCCTCTCATCACTGACATAATTCACTCCTCTCTCACCACTGGTATTGTTCCTTCCTCTCTCAAAGCTGCTGCTGTTACTCCAGTTTTAAAGAAACCTGGTTTAGATCCCAAAACCCTCAATAACTTTCATACCATTTTCAACCTTCCATTCGTCCCAAATTCTTGAAAAAAAAACTGTCGCTGCTTAACTTTACACTCATCTTTCCTGTAATAATTTATACAAACAATTCCAGTCTAGTTTTCGCCCACTCCGTAGCACTGAAACAGCTCTCCTCAATCACTAATGACCTCCTCCTAGCAGATGACTCTGGTTCACTATCCATTCTTCTTCTGCTGCTTTCGACATAGTCTCACATAACATTCTTCTTGACAGGCTCGCTTCAGTTGGCATCGGTAACTAACCTCTCAGCTGGTTTCATTCATACCTTTCTGGTTGCACTCAGTTCATTCAATTAAAATTTCACTTCGTCATCAGTCCCCGTCACTACCGCTGTGCCCCAGGGTTCAGTTTTAATTCTCCTGCTATTTATCGTCTGTCATCTTCCACTTAGTTATATTTTCCGCAAACACCAAATCTATTTTCACTGCTACGCAGATGACACCCAAGTCTACCTATCAACCGAACACAACCACAAACTCCCACCTTCATCCCTTACTAATTGCTTTGCAGACATCAAATCCTGGTTCACCACAAATTTCCTGAAACTAAATGACAATAAAACTGAACTTCTCCTTATAGGTACACGATCCACTTTAAATAAATCACATAGCTTTTCCATTCCCACAGATGGTTCTGTCATTATCCCCTCTACTCAGGTTAAGAGTCTGGGGGTCATCTTCGACATCACCCTTTCATACACAGCACATGTTAATAATGTCACCCGGTCCGCTTATTTCCACCTTCGTGATATAAATCATTTACGTCCTTCCCTCACATCTCATTCAGCTGCCATTCTTGTTCATAGTTTAGTTACATCCCGTTTAGATTACTGTAATTCCCTTCTGTTTGTAAATTACAACTGATACAAAACGCTGCAGCCCGTATTATCACAAAAACTCCCTCTGTCTGTAACATCACACCCTCTCTACAACAGCTTCACCGGCTTCCCATCTCTTTCAGAATTGATTATAAAATACTACTACTCACCTTTAAAGCCATCCACAATCTCACTCCTCCATACCTTGCTAACCTTGTTCATATCGCCACACCTTCTCGAACACTAAGGTCTTCTTCTGCAATTCACCTCACTGTTCCCTCTGTCCGGCTTGTCACCATGTGGAGCAGATTGTTCGGCCACTCTGCTCCTCAGCTTTGATATTCACTTCCTCCTGATCTCCGTAATTTAGACTTTCACAATTTTTAATTCAAACTCAAAACACATCTGTTTAAAACAGCTTATTCTCTTTAACCCGACTACATTTCTAAAGTTTGAATTGTTTTGTTTTTGCTTTTGCTATTATTTTTGTGTTTTTACTTCAACTGATTGTTCTAGCTGCCCTGTGCGGTAACCTTGAGTGTCATGAAAGGCACCTTTAAATAAAATGCATTATTATTATTATTATTACAATGGGGAACCCAATTGCTTCTTTAGATAAAGAAGCTTCGCTGTGACCTTGTAGGTTTACCCCCTTCCTCTTGGGTCAGACTGTCATCCATGGTGGGTAAGTGCTCTAAACTAGCTTTGGGTTTTAATCGTGTTAGCGCAGGATATGACATTAACAGCAGTAGTATTGGTACATTTTAATAACCTTATTGAAGTGTTCAGCCATGCTAAGTCCCATCCCAAAACCATACCCCCAAAGATAACACATCTACCACCCTCATTGACATCAAGTATGGTTGATCATTTATCACTACAGTCACTTCAGTGGTCCTTTTGGTCTTCATGTACACATTGAATGCTCTGTGTGTAAAGTCAATGCTGTTTCCTGGAATGTTGCTTTATTAGTGTAAGTGTGCTGCAGGTGTCAATGAGTGCGTTCACATTTTGGCTGTTTACTGTGACATCTGTATGTTCTTTAAGTCACCCTTCTTCGAGACATAAAGACTTGTTAGTTTAGGTTCTGGACAGTTTGGCGCCTTGTGACCTTCTTGCTGGCATTAAAAACAAATCATTTTTTATTATTTAATGTTTAAATGGTGAAGTCATATTTGCGTTGTGGTGCAAAGTGTCTATTTATAGTGCAGAGTGATTAAGAATCCCCCCAAAAAATGGCTAGACTTTTGAGAAGTACACAACCAACCTTAACTCCACTACTCCCAAACAGAACTGAGCTCAAGCTAATCTTTTATAGCAGTGAGACTCCACCCACCAAGGATAAAACCATGTCAGAGGTAAGTATAAAGTAAATATAGACATAAAACATAAAAAAATTATCCAATGATGTAGGTAGTTGGAGCCATATCACCCTGCACCCAATATTGGTTGCTCACTGAAGCTAAGCAGGTCAGTACCTGGATGGGCGACCACATGGAAAAACTAGGTTGCTGTTGGCAGTGGTGTTAGCTAGGCCAGTAGGGGGCGCTCAACCTGCTGTCTGTGTGAGTCCTAATGCCCCAGTATAGTGAAGGGGACGCTAAACTGTCAGTGAGTGCCGTCTTTCAGGTGAGACGTTAAACCGAGGTCCCGACTCTGTGCTCATTAAAAATCCCATGGCACTTGTAAAGTATATATATGTGTAAGCCTGGCATCCTTGCCAAATTCCCTCCCTACCATTGTTCGTTAGGTTACCATTACTCAAGACATAAAGACTTGTTAGTTTAGGTTCTGGATAGATTGACGCCTTGTGACCTTCTTGCAGGCAATAAAAACAAATGTCAATCAAAGGCGGCAACACCAAGGCTCCAAAAATACAAATTTATTAAATTAAAAGGCTGATACAGGGCGTTATAATAATTGTTTTTTTGCTAGAAACTAAGACAGAGTACCTTGTCAATGTGGTTGGACCCTCGGTTTGCTGTAGCCCGTGTATGCATCTGACCTCTGTGTGTAGGATGATGCATTCTCCTATCTCCGCCTTCCTGCCGCACTCAGGTCGAACCCGGCATCAGTAGAGGCCCTTGAGTCAGTTTTATGTCCCTGTAGGGGTTTCTCCAGCAGGTGTCACCGTCTGCTGCAATCAGTGCATGTTTCTATTCAGATGTCAAATTTTGCCAGCACTGCGTCACAAAGATCCTCATAGACATCTTCATCCATAGTGAGGTATGCTTTGCGCACTTATGGTGAGAAGAGGATAGGTGGAACTTGATTTTATTGCTGTGCTTTTGACTGGTTGATGATTTCTGTCATAATAACTGATGTGATGTGTGTTTTCAGACACGGGTCGCTTTCTGCAGCTCAACAGCAGCTGATTCGAGAGACTCTGATGAAGTGGTTGCAGACTCAGGTTAGTGTAGTGTGTTTGTTGTGTGATTTGATATACACTGTGATTTATATCCATCCACAGGTCATTGAATTTAATCGAATTTTAAAAGGTCACGAAAACAATTTTTTTTTTTGAGAAGCAGCCGTCCATCATTAGACTTTTGAGCTGCTGAAGATAAAGCCAACGACTAGGAGGAATGTAAATGTGGAGTTTTAGATGAAGCACAAATGAACAGCGACAGAAGTCTCCATAAACTGACACAGATGCCATTATTTGACCTTTTTCTGACAGATAACATTAGTCCTTTTTTCAGTCTGTCGCTATGGTGTCGCACAGGCATTTGTAGCTCTGCTTTTTTTTGAACAGAGCACCAGAATGTGCATTTGAACTGCTGTGTGTTTGTGCAGCTGATGAACGTGCATCCAGAGAAGCCCTTCATCAGGAATAAGGCGGCGCAGGTTTTTGCCCTGACGTTTGTGATGGAGTATCTGACTTTATGGCCTAAATTCTTCTTCGATGTCCTGGCTCTGGTGGGTCTCAATCCGAATGGTGTGGACATTTACCTGCGAACACTGATGGCCATTGATGCAGAGGTGGTGGATCGCGACATCCTACACAGCCCCGAGGTAAAACAGCAGAAAGGACAGCAAAAATCTGATCTGTTCTGGGCATCATGTATAGGCTAATGCTAGTATCCAAATTTCTTGTTGCATGTATTTGCTGAAGCTTTTATTACAGTAAACCATACGTCACGATATTGACAGGTTGTCTGCGTAGTCTTAAGTATTTAAAAATCTTAATTTAATTGTACTAGGTATTAAGTTTTGACTATTTGATTATGCACTGTATAGTTGTATAACACTACAGTGTATAATCAACATTGGGAAGCTATGTAGTTTATGAAATGGATAAAATCCTGCTAGATTTAATATGGTCGCAGCCTTTTTTTCCTGCATTGTTAAAATTGCATAATATATAGAAAATAAGAATAAAAGTTGTGTAAAAACTCAATATCTCTCTCTCTCTCTCTCTCTCTCTCTCTCTCTCTGTTGTTCACTAGGAGACCCGTAGGAACACTCTGATTAAAGACGGCATGCGTGAGCAGTGCATCCCGGCGCTGGTGGAGTCCTGGTTCCAGATCCTGCAGACGTACCAGCACACACACAGCGAGCTGACCTGCCAGTGTCTGGAGGTGGTGGGAGCCTTCGTGTCCTGGATCGACCTCAATCTCATTGCCAACGACAGGTCAGAGCCTCTCAAATCCCACATCACTGTGCATGCCTTTTTTTTTCTCCGACACGTTTTCAAACGTAAATGATGACGGCAAATAATATTTGACTTAATATCCTTCAAGTTACTAGTATTCAGCTTAAAGTGACATTTAAAGGCTTAACTAGGTTAATTAGGCAAGTCATTGTATAACAAAACAAATGTTGCTTAAGGGGGCTAATAATATTGACCTTAAAATGGGTTTGAAACAAATAAAATCTGCTTTTATGCTAGCCGAAATAAAACAAATAAGACTTTCTTCAGAAAAAAAAATAATATAGGAAATACTGTGGGAAAAATTGCTGAATCTGTTCATTATCATTTGAGAAATATTAGGGGGAAAACATATCACAAGAGGGCGTATAATTTAGATTTGTAGATCTGTATATTCAGGCTGAACCTTATGACCTTTTTAGTTGAAGTTAAGCTTGTTAATAGGTTTAAGGTTGGTTTAAGTTCCAAGTTCCAAGTTTGAACTATTGCAGAAATTACATCTATATGTCAATACAAAATACCAAAAAAGCTAAATAAAATGAAAACAAACACAAAGTTACACGATTAAACATATTTCTACATCGATCTACTCGTACAGCATCCCCACGTCAGAGATCAGAATGGTTAAAAAGCTATTTAAATACTAATGATTAAAAGTTGTCCATGTTGATTTTAATATTGTATTTGTTTACAAAGCCATTAATAATCTTGCTCCTCAGTACCTTACCGACTTGCTCTTTCTGTATACTCCCTCTCGTCCATTGTCGAGGAGATCGAGTGTCTGCAGTTGCTGGTCCTAAACTCTGAAACACTACCAATTAGGGCTGCTCAATTATGGGAAAAATCATAATCACGATTATTTTGATCATAATTGTAATCACGATTATTCAAAACGATTATCAGTTGAAGTCAAAATTATTCGCCCTTCTGAGAATTTATTTTTATATACAAATATTTCCCAAATTTTGTTTAACAGAGCAATTTTTTACAGTATTTCCTATAATATTTTTTTCTTCTGGAGAAAAGCTTTTTTTTTTTTTATTTCAGCTAGAAAAAAAATCAGGTTTAAATATTTTGAAACCTATTTTAATAGCTCAATATTAATAGCCCCCTTAAGCAATATATATTTTTGATTGTTTGCAGAAGAAACTACTGTTACATAATGACTTGCCTATTAACCATTAAAGTGCTCGCATTAGGATGGCGTTAGATGTGTGTGTGCTCTGCTGTCTGAGGCTAAGCGCGGACCGCGCGCACACAGACACACACAATACCTGTCCGAGGCTAAGCGCAGCGCGCACACACACAACAGTACATGCTCTTTCGCTTTTTTAAAAATATTAATGATGCGCATCCCATGCTGCAAAAGTTACATTACAGCACATCTTTCAGTCACTTTTATATGGAACTGGAAAGGAGGCGGTATATGATGGAATAACTGTTTATCTCGATTAACGGTTTTTCATAATCGTTATGAGTCGAAATCGAAACCGGATTTTCGATTAATTGCACTGCCCTACTACCAATTCACATTAGACTTTTCCCCTCGAGTTTTGTTTAAGTCCAATTTAAAGACTTATTTTCTCTCGCTTTTAATACTCCTTGATCACTGTTTTATTGCTTGTATTTGTTAAATCTTTCTTTTATATTCAGCTTTCTTATCTGCCTTTAGTACTCCTATGTGCAGCACTGTGGTGGTTTAAATGTGCTTTATACATTAATATTGCATTGTATTGCTATTGTCATTAAACAGTCTAATGACCAAAGGTGTGGTGGAATGGTTTTGTCCTTGTTTGAGTTCTTTGCTTCCCTTGTTAATCTCATGCTGTTGTTTGTGTAGGTTTGTGAATCTGTTGCTCAGTCACATGTCCATGGAGGAGCTGCGGGAGGCAGCGTGTGATTGTCTGTTTGAGATCGTCAATAAAGGCATGGATCCTGTGGACAAAACCAAACTGGTGGAGTCTCTGTGTCAGGTGCTGCAGTCTGCTGGCTTCTTCAATGTGGAGCAGGTCAGCATCTCACACACTACACCACATATTCACATCAGCTGCTAATGAACAGTAGCAGCATACTTTATTGTCCTGGAAAGAAAATTTGGGGAATACTTTATAATATTTGCACACTAGGGAGTCCTTTATCAAGCATTAGCATATGGTTACAACGTGTCCGCAGGGTCTGAAAGTATTAAAAGTTGATAAATCGATATAGAGAAATTTAAGGCCCTTAAAAAGTCTTAAATGCTAGTTTGCAAGGTATTCAATTTTATATCATTTTTGATTGTGCAATATATGGTTGTATGCTAAAGTCTGCCTGAATTAAATCTGCGAATATCAGGATGCTGTGTAATTTATGAAATTAATAAACTCCTGCTAAACAAAGCCAACACCATTATTTCTGCAGTTCTATAGGCACTAACCTGCCGAATTAGCTAGATTAAATAGATTTTAATACAGTATATGAATAATGTTTTAGTTTTGGATTAGTTACTTTAATATTCAATAAATAAACTGTAAGTTAAGATCTCGCCAGTGTTTCTAGTTGAAACCTAAAGTGTTTATAAGGTCTTAAAATGTATGGAAAGAGTCTTTAAAAAGGTATTGAACTTCACTCTCTGTTTCCTGTATAAGGTGGTAATAGTTACTGCATTTATTTGTTCATTTATTTCTCATTGTTAGTTCATATTAACCCCTGTTGTATTAGCTGATGTTAACTAGCATGAGTCTGGATTTTAATACTGCATTGATGAGACTTTACTGTAAGGTTGTATTAGTTAATGTTAGTTAATGCATTTACTCACATGAACAATACATTTATTACTGCATTTGTTTGTTAATGTAAGTACAGTTCATTGTTATTTATGCTAACTCATGGCGCAATGTTAACAAGCATGAGTTTGGATGGTAATAATGCATTAGTAAATGTTTAAATGTTGCGTAATTAGTCATTATTATGCATGTTAGTAAATGCATTCGTTTTTCATTTACTCCAGCTGAACTAAAATGATAAGGATGATAAAAATGATAAGAAAAATATATAATGGTAAATACTGTGGAAAATATTTGGAAAGGAATCAATTTCACAGGAGTGCTAACAATTTTTTTTCTTCACATGTGTTTCATTAAATAAGACTTAACATCCCTTATTTCTTTCCTCTTGTGTTTGGTTTTTGCATCAGGAAGAGGATGTGGATTTTCTGGCCAAGTTCTCTCGGCTGGTGAATGGTATGGGTCAGTCTCTGGTGCTGAGCTGGACCAAACTCAGCAAGACGGCGGACGAGAAGATTTCTGCTGAAACGCTGCGTGCGGTCGAGTCCAAGGTTCCTCTGATGTTACAGCTGCTAATCCATGAAGACGATGACATTTCAGCTAACATCGTCTGCTTCTGTTACGACTACCTGCATGTGCTCAAACAGGTACACACACATACTTGCATACATGGTTTAAAGGGACTCTCCATAGGTGTAATCTATTTTATACAGTAAAAACAGCAAATTTTTAATGTGAAAAACGCTGTTAAGTATGATTAAGAGTTTTAAATTACAGGTAATTGAGATGTAAACCAGCTTAAAGTATAAATAGCTTAAATACGTCTCATTAAACAACTTTGTGTTCCTGTAAAGCACATAAACCTGTATACACATACACCCAAAACACACCACCTGTAAGAGTCACTCGCACATCTCTGTATGCACCAGACACTTTCTTATCAACACTGATGAAAACTTCTTGATATTATTAGTGTCCTCTGCAAGTGAGTGGGCTTTACAAACCACCTGTATGACACACTGCTCTCTATATGTATGAAGGGGGTAAATAAAAAGTGTATATTTATTAAATTTATAGCTTTTAACATAGCATTTATATCCTCAATTGTAAGTCACCTTGGACAAATGCATCTAGTAAATGAGAAAATGTAAACACAGATGCACACCCTCAGAGATGATCCACCCACAATGCTCATCTTCAGTGTTGTGTGTGTTCCAGCTTCCAGCACTCAACGAGCAGCAGAAGAGCAATGTGGAGGTCCGGCAGCATCACAGACTCGTATCATTTATTATTAATAGCTGAATGTCGCTGTATTGTTGATATCGCGTTAACATTGTTGATGGTTGTGCTTATTTTGGTAACAGGCGATCATGCTGGCTGTGATGAGCAAACTCAAGTATGATGACGAGTATAACTTTGAGAATGAGGTCAGTGTGATCTGTTTACTGTGCTTTAAACAGTGTCGGTCATGACAGTCAAGTGTTTGCAGATTTCTACCGTAATTTAAAGTACATCTATCATTCAGAAATTTTAAACAGCACATTAAGAAAATATAATGCATAATAAAATAGTAACATAGTGCTGCACTAAAACAACAAACGATAAACAGATCTATTTATTTTGCTTGTTTGTAGAGCAGTTGATTTTATTATGGTTTAAGAATAATAATTTAGCTTTTAATAAAGCAGACATTAAATGTTTAAAAAGATTGAATGAAAGACATAATTATATTTTTGAACTGTGAATCATTTGGCATTGTTTAGTATATTTTTTTTGTCCTTTTGATAATAGGTGTTTAACAGTTAAACAGTTAAACAGATAACAGTTTAATTAAATGAACACAATGTTTTTTAACAGGTGTAAGTCTCACGATAAAGTGCAGGGTGTCTGCAGGGTCTTAAACTCTAACATTTAAGAATTTAAATTTAAGGCCTTAAAAACACATAAATTGGCTGTTCTAGGTCTTAAATATTTCTGCACAGGCCTTATTTTTGTGATGTCCATGTAGCTCTACTTTTTTGTTGTTGCTAAGTTTTAGGTTTTTCAGCTGGCAGAGTATGCCGTTATTTCACTGACAAGTGTTGTAAGCACAGTATTACAAGTCAGGAGTCCAATCATGTAATAGGAGAGAGCGAACATACACGCCGGTTTCCTCTGTTTGTGGACAAAACTGCACACGAGGTCTCAAAACACAGCTGCTCACGTGCGAATGATCTGCTCTCGCTCCGTCAGACGATACAGACTTATGATTTTTGTGTCTTGTGTTTCCTCCTCCTCGTGCTTTTGTTCTCCAGAGATGCTTCAGCATACTGTAGTGTTAAGAATAGTGGACTGATAAAATGAAATGCAGTGTAGTTTTGCTACAGTAAAGTGTGGTGAATTTTAGTGTACTATACCCTATATTGTAAAAAAAAAAACAGCACTGGGTAATTTGTTTGTTACACATAGCCATAGCAACAAGTGTTACCACAACTGATCAATTGAAGTACTTCACTGTACTTTACTGAACACTGTACAGCAGAGACGTGTTCACTTTATTTTAGTTGCCATTATAAAATGAGATAGTGAGATTTATTTGAAGAGAATAGTGCAGTAGGCTATAATACCTTATCAAGTTCCCTATTTTCTATCACAGTTACATTTCTGCTTGCATGAGTTATATTTAAATGTTTTATTTATTTATTTATTTTATTAGTATGGTGCACCTTTTGACTCAGGTGAACAGCTTGCACGCTGCCGTGTTTGATTTGCGTCAGGTATAAAAGCCTCGTCCATTTTGTGAGGTGTGCGATGCAGCGCCAGGCAAAATCATAAATCAGAATTAAGATGTTTGTTTTTTTCCGTAGTTCAGTGGTGCATCTAACCTGTCTTCAGTACTATTCAATTTGAATACGTTTATTTTACCACTAATTTTGTTATTTTACATTTTCTTCCGCGTGTTTTTGATAATGTGATTATAGGTCCTAAATTTAATACTTAATGGTCTTAAAAAGTCTTAAATTTGACATTGTTCTCTGCAGAAACCCTGTATTAAGATTAATATACTTTGTTTTTTATGGAAACATGTTTAAAAAATAATAGAAAAACAGACATTTTTATTGATATTGGCATTTTTATCATAGATTATATGGGGGAAAACTTTAAACTAAAATTATAGTAATATTTATATCAGTCCTCAATATCAAACAATTGATGATTATTTTGATAAATCGTGAGCTGTAATGCGAAATATTGTGTGTGTGTGTGTGTGTGTGTGTGTGTGTGTTTTTTGTGTGTGTGTGTTCAGGGTGAAGATGAGGCTATGTTTGTGGAGTACAGGAAGCAGTTAAAGATGCTGCTGGACCGACTGGCGCAGGTTTCTCCAGAGCTGCTGCTGGAGGCTGTGCACAGAGTCTTCAACGCCACCATGCAGTAAGACATCAACGCGTGCACACACACAGCAGGAGTGCACTAAACATAATTTCTATGCCCTTCCCTTGCTAACCTCCCTGCGTCTCCTTTACTTAGATGTACATCATTACTGGGGCCAGACGTTTTTTAAATTTCTTTGCAGAAAATGTGGAATAATTGCTTATTTATGCAGAGGGATTTTTGTGAGCACAGTAAATAAAACATACCACATGAAATAAAAATAGAATAACTAACTTGAATGCAAATACATTTAGAACCACTTGTTTGATAAACAAAGCAAGTCTGTCACTTAGTATATCTACTAAAAGACAGGAAATGACACTACTATAAAAGTCTGCAGATTTCTGCACACAGGCTTTTTGTGGGCCTAGTCCTGTACACAAGTGTCCACTACCGGGGCATCATCTTTATATGGGTTTAAATGGAGCGCCCTAAACTCTTGAGCTCTTTGGAACTACACTGTTGTGATCCTTTAGTCTAAATTGAGTGGTCGAGGGTCTGTCCATGTAAGCTTCGCTTGTTGTGAAATGCACTTTATGGGCTAGCAAAATAAACATTGCACATATTGATTACACAAGGACTTTAAAGCATGATTGATTGATTTTCTTGACTTGTCATGATTATTAAATAACCAATCTAATTACAGTTATTAATTTAAACCAACTATGATTGCTGTATTTTTTTACTAGCCACAAGGGGGAGACATAAACCAAAATACAGAGACGTTGTTACTAATGATCTGATTTGTGTGTGGGCATCAACACCAACATTTTATTACATATTCATTCATTATTGACAATTAATCATTAGCTAAATCATACCAGCCGTATTGATGTGTGTTTGTGTTGTGTGCAGGAGCTGGCAGACGCTGCAGTTCATGGAGGTGGAGGTGTCCATCCGGCTGCTGTATATGCTGGGTGAAGCTCTTCCAGCATCTCATGGAGCTCATTTCTCTGGAGACTCTGCCAAAACCAGCACACTGCAGGCCATGATGAGAACCGTGAGTTTGTGTTCATCATCCTCTGAAGATATGCCGAGCAAAAACACAATCAGGACACTCCTTACATTATATACTTAAACTGGAGATGCACCAAATGTCCAAAATAGATGCACTCATGCTCACTGGAAAACCAAAGTGTGCTCAAATAACATGCACACAGGATATTTTCCATCTAGTCCTTTTTTATGGTTGTTTTATTTAGTTTTGTTTTTTAAATCTGAATAATTTGAGTTAAATTTAAAGAGTCAAAAATTACTTTAATATTACAAAATTAATTTTTAATATTTAATAAAATAGTAGCAAAATACAATGCAGTTTCACTTTTGGATCAAGTACATCTTGATATTTTGGTCCAGATTTTTATTTGCATTTCTAAATTTAACTAGAATACCTCTGTCAGTGAAAATAAATGCTGGCCTGGCATTAAACACAAATAAACATACATGACAGTTAATTATAATGAATAATTAGCTTTTTGTTTGTTATTTGCTTATATAGTATTTGTTTCTGTTTAAAATTGCATTTAATTAATTAATTAAAATCTAGCTTTGCTTTTGTCATTTGTAGTCCTGGAGAATCTTGTGACGCATTGAGTGAACATTTCACTTAAACATGATTCCAGCTGGTATTGTTTGTGTGTGTGCAGCTCGTCTCCTGTGGTGTCAGTGAGTATCAGCATTCCTCCGTCACTCTGGAGTTTTTCGAGACCGTGGTCCGCTATGATAAATTCTTCCTGGTGGAGCCGCAGCACATTCCCGCTGTCCTGGTGAGCATTTAAAGCATAATACATACTCATTTCACTCCAGTGTCACTCAGTGTTTTCTCTTTGTTTTGTTCAGATGGCGTTTTTAGACCACCGCGGTCTGAGACACAGCAGCCCAAAGGTGCGCAGTCGAGTGGCTTACCTGTTCTCACGCTTCATCAAAACCCTGCAGTGAGTCCTTCTGCAATACACACACACACATAGTGCTGTTTAATAATGTAAGCATTCGCACATTACTGTGATTTCAGAAAGAATTGTTTAACACTGAAGTCTGATGTTTATTTTAGCATCCCATAAATGTTTGATTTATTTTCACATTTGAAATGCGTTATTATAAAGTTGAAGTGATATTTCACAATTTTACTGTATTTTAAATCAAATACAAGTATGTTTGGTGTACTGAAGATATTTAAAAACCTTTTAAAATCCTAATTATTTCAGTCATTTGGTAGTGGATGGAAAAGCTGTTTTTGTTTCATGCGTTCTCCTCTTCCTAATCAACACGTTCAGTTAGCAAAGTGTGTTAAATGTGCATTTGAAGGAAATAAATAGTCACTTTTCACTTGTCCATGTGGTGCATATTTACTAGGGTGGGGCATCTAAGCTATAATGCCGATCCGATACGCATCTCGATACAAAGAATACGATCCGATATATTAGCGATACATTTGTGACATTGCGATGCAACACGATACGATTCACACCCATATCACGATACAATGCGATAATTCAGCACTAACTTATTAGATCAAGTTTATGAGATGATGTGAAAGAGGATGCTGTGCCATTGAATGAGTTTGATTATTTATTAACCAAGTAAAAACAAGACTTTTTTACAAACTGGCTCTTCTCTCAGAGCCAGAGTGTCAGTTTACAGTAGAGGGCCATTTTAGAACCTATAGCACATATTATTTAAGATTTTTCAAGATAAACAGAATGTATAAGTGCAATATATATTAAAATATATATATTTGCACTCTTTCAACATAAAGGTTGAGCATTGCACAACAAGAATTGTGATTTAACTTTTCAACTATGAAAACAAGTTTTACAAAGATATATTGTGCCACTGAATATTCAAAACTTAAGGTGGTGAACTAGCAGTGTTATGCTGCGTTGAAACATCACTGTCACTGTAAACAACAGGCTGATAAAAATATAACAAACCAGCAATCGTCTTGCTGTGAGGTGGTCAAACTACCCACTGTGCCACCGTGACACCCATTATTTTTATCATTATCATTATTAATAATATTATTATTATTATAATTAAATAAAAATTAACAGGAGGAGGTGTTTAAACCCGCCTAGTGCAGCAGTATAGAGAGGGCGGCGTCCGCAACACCCAGTTATATCCGCGCATAGGGTGGCAGAATAGAGGTCAGCGACACCCGCGCGTCCTCAGTTATATCCGCGCATAGGGCGGCAGAATAGAGGTCCGTGACACGTCACTTCATTTTCATAACCGGTCACTTTCGTTTTCACATTGTGTACCTGATACACTGAGTTGTAGTGTAAGTGTACACATCCGCAAATCCGTTGCTAAGGCTTACTTTATGTAGGTCAATTAAATTATGCGCCAAAAACAGGTTGACAACACTTGTTAATAAATAAAAAATACATTCTATATTAAAAATATAAACTGTATCTCGGAAAAACCGATGCATCTCGCAAAAAACGATGCATCTCGATTTGCTTCCAAAATTTCATTCATCCTCTGCTGCTCTACCGATGCACTCGCATCGTGCACGCGCATGACCGCGTATCGATACATATCGGTTAATCTTCCCATCCCTAATATTTACAGTGTCATTTACATTTGGAATTGTCTAATGCTGTTTGTGTGTGTGTGTGTTTGCACAGTAAGCACATGAATGCGTTTATCGAGGACATTCTCAGCAGAATACAGGACCTGCTAGAGCTCGCTCCACCGGTAACAGCACATAACCATCATCAGAGGCTGCTCTTACTTCTGCTGGAAACATGACTGATGGTCATGTCTCTGTGTGTGTGTGTGTGTGTTCAGGAGAATGGATTCCCAGCGCTGTTGAGCAGTGATGATCAGCTGTTCATGTTTGAGACAGCGGGTGTGCTGATAGTGAACGGTGAGTCTCCAGCAGAGCGTAAGCAGGGTCTGATGCGCGGGCTGCTGTCTCCACTGATGGAGGCCTTCAGGATGCTGCTGGAGAAGCTGCCGCTGGAGCCGGACGAGGAGCGGCAGACGGCGCTGGCAGACTGCCTCAGTCACGCTGTGGGCTTCGCCAGGTAAGCTCATTCTGTGAAACTCATTTCAGGACAGTGCTTTAAAGAGTTTTAAGACTAAACACCACAGACGTACAGATCTCCACACGTCCACTGCATGGGAGTATAGATGGCAGATTATTCAGATTAGTGCATATTTAAATATGACATGCATCATGTCTTTTAAAGATATGGATTGTAAATGAAATGAGTGTGGTATTTTATTGTCTTTTAGTTTTATAAAGTATTTTTGTATGCTGTGCACTGTTGATTTTTGACAAAACTTATAAATAATACAGAAAAAAACAATGAAAGAGGCCTGAATGAAGCCGTATTAGGCCAGCCAAAAGGAGCAAAATCTCCAAATGAATATGTGAAGAGTCTGCGATCCAGAAGTGTGTGTGTGTCGCTGTGCTCCAGCAGTGTTGTACAGTATCTGTGTTTTTTGTGCTCTCTCAGCCGCACCAGTAAGGCGTTCAGCAATAAGCAGACAGTGAAGCAGTGCGGCTGCTCGGAGGTGTATCTGGACTGCCTGCAGACGTTCCTGCCGGCGCTCAGCTGTCCTGTGCAGCGAGGGGCTCTGCGCAGCGCCGTCCGCTCTTTCCTGCACCGCATGATCATCTGCCTGGAGGAGGAGGTGCTGCCCTTCATCCCTGCCGCGTCCCAGCACATGCTGAAGGACTGCGAGGCCCGAGACCTGCAGGAGTTCATCCCGCTCATCAGCCAGATCACTGCTAAATTCAAGGTCAGACACAAAGCGCACTCACTGCTGTTAAAGAGCACCGATTTTGCCCCTTTTACAAGATACAAAATGCATCTCTGCTGTCTGTAGAGTGTGTAGGGAAGTTTCAGCTCAAAATACCACAAAAATACCTCACAATGTAAACACAAACAGAAATACACACTGCAATTCTCACTTGTTATTATTATTATTATTTGATATTTATGTTGATAAGTCGTATATCTGACTGTAATTGCATTTCAAAGTTTTATTATTTGGAATAAATCTGCTGTATTTCCACTATAGGATGAATAACATTGCAGCAGAAGAACTTAGAAGTGTATGATTTAACACATTTCCTTTAATATGTGCCGTGTAGTAATAATAATCTGGGTTTGTGTGTGCAGAACCAGGTGTCCCCGTTCCTGCAGGAGATCTTCATGCCGCTGGTCATGTCCATCTTTGAGGTGTTGTCTCGTCCCGCGGAGGAGAACGATCAGACGGCGGCGCTGGAGAAGCAGATGCTGAGGAGGAGCTACTTCAGCTTCATCCAGACCATCGCCAGCAGCAGCAGCAGTCAGGTCATGGCCAGTCAAGGTGAGGACACACACACACACACACACACACGGTCTGGACTCAGAGGTCATAGTCTAACATGGTAATGTATTTGGCTCGACCAGTCTTCACTAGCAAATCCTCAATTCTAAGCATAGTGTATGTGTAAAACTTGGACTGGGCATTGGCCTTGTGGAAGTTGATGCAGACACGCAGGGATCTTTCTCGGTCTCTTACCAGGTGGCACTTTCCACTTCTTTATTAGGTTGCTGTAGTAGGTCTGTTTGGTCTTCCTCTAGTCTGGATGGTGAATTTCATGCATTACTGTGTGTGTGTGTTTGTGTTTGTGTGTGTGTGTGTGTGTGTGTTCGTGTGTGTGTGTTCGTGTGTGTGTGTTCGTGTGTGTGTGTGTGTGTGTGTGTGTCTCTATGACAGGAGCAGAGAACATCGAGCGCGTGCTGTTCACCATCATTCAGGGCGCTGTGGATTTTCCAGACCCTGTCGCTCAGAAGACCTGCTTCATCATCCTGTCCAGACTGGTGGAGCTCTGGGGTAGCCCAATACACACACTGCACACACACACTACTGTTGACACACACAATGTGGAGTTCAGATCTAATATTTCAGTCAAATAATGTCAACTTAATTTAAATAGTAGATGGGTGAAATTAATGAAAGCTGTAGTTTTTTGCTGTCGTTTTAAGAAGCTGAGAGAAGTAATGAGTTATATTAACTATTATATGTATTTTTTGTGCTAAATTGGTATTTATATTTATTTTCTGTATATTAAAGTCTGCATTTTTGTAAGAAACACTCAAAAGTAGAACTTTGGAAACCTACCAATCAATTTGGAGTAATAAAAATAATAATGTGTTTTTTTTTTATATATATATATATATGTAGCGCCACCTAGGTGTATTAAGTTTAAGATAGCGCTCCAGGTTCAATACACTAAACGCCTACAGATATGTTGAAGTAGGCCCCTCTGATATATTTCAATGATTTAATGTAAATAAGGCAGATGAGAATATAAATATTTGCTGTGTTTGAATAAATTACCAGAAATAAACTCTGTGAATAATAAAACTCATAGATAAATCAGAAAATATATATAATTTAATTAGAATAGAAATGTAAATATTGGGAAAAACCCCAGATGTAAAACAAAATACAAAATATAGAATTTATGCACAGCTAAAAGACAGTAAAATGACCCAAAGTCAAACCCAGCAATTTACAGTACAATGAAGAATATTAATTAAACCAATATAGAAAAATACCACCTTTCTACACTCTAACAATTAACTTAAACTTATAAATCAACAAGTGACTAAGAGTGACTGAATATGTTTCTCTTTGAAAGTGGCTACAATTGTGTCACTAAATTACACACTGAATTAACCCTATATAAACTATTAGTATAAATCTATACTGTAAAACACGCAGCAGTATTTTATGCTCACTGCATCTCCATAAACAACTCAAAACTCTGTGGGCCCACACACTCACACATTCATACACCCCCCGTTGCAGGCCTGTATAGCTGCTAGTGTACGTTGTGGCCGGGAAAATGAAAATGGCCTCTTCACTCTCCTGAGCACAAATAAAATTAAACAAGATACCTCAGATGAAGATGACCTTGATCCAGATGACAGCAAACCAGATGCCAGCGATCCAGATGACAGCGATCCAGATGACAGCAATATATGACAGTTCTCCAAACTGACAACACTTGTGAACAACGGGCCAACGAGCCGCGATCGATCGGCGAACTTCTGCCGCGGGTCTTTCAAATCCTCACTTTCACTTTTTCTCTCCAGCTGATGAGAGACAAATCTCACGTAGTATTCAGGCTATTTGTGGTGCTATTTGCTCCTCTTTGACTCTTTCAGCGTTGTTTCATACTAATCTAACAGTCTCTTTTTTTTTTCTCCTCCTTATTTTCGGTTTAACCGTCTCTCTCTCAGTTCAGCTTTAGTCCTCCGTAACTGTCAGTTGACAATCTAGGCATTTAAAAAATGCTCACTCACTCTGAACTGACTAATAACTGACACTGGAAACTTATGATGAAAACACACCGCAAACTTAAAACAAACACAAAACAAACTCAAAGTAATCAAAAACATGTTGTTCACACGCAATATATATTACTATCTCTTGTTTTTATTCTCCGTGAATGTTACGCAATCATAACAGCCGCGACGCGAGTCTCCCCTTCAGTTTCCAAAACTGCCGGCTGTCCCCTCTCTCCGCTCTCTCTTCCCAACAGCCAATCACATTTCACACTCCACACCAGAGGGCGGGACTACACGCATATAAACCAATAATGTAGGAACACCTACCAAACTTGTTAACCCCATGTATTTCAGTGAAGGTTGATCAAACTTGCTATCTTATCATATAATCATATGATTTTTGTTATGTATAGGGAGGGAAAAGCTGAAAAAATAGAACAAATTTATTTAAAAGCAGATTTTCTAAATATGAACAACCAAAATTGAAATCAGAGTAATTAAATTGAAAAACTATGAATAAAAAGTAAACCAGTCTCTGAATAGTAGTAAAGGACTGTTGTTTTTCTCAGGTGGAAAAGACGGTTTGGTGGGATTTCCGGATTTCATCTATAAGCACATTATTCCCGCATGCTTCATGGCTCCTCTGAAAACAACCTTTGACCTTTCAGATGCGCAGACGGTTCTGGTGAGTCCATCAGTCTGTGTGAAGCAGAGTTTAGTTTGATGCAGATGAATGAAGATCTGCTGTTGTGTTGCAGACGCTGTCCGAGTGTTCGCTGACGCTGCACATGATTCATCTCAAAAGAGTGAGTGTCAATTACAGAGCAGTTCAGCATCAACACACCAGCATTACTGCAGACATTAACCTGTGTGCTTCTGTGTGTGTGTGTGTGTGTGTGTGTGTGTGTGTGTGTGTGTGTGTGTGTGTGTGTGTGTGTGTGTGTGTGTGTGTGTGTGTGTGTGTTTTAGGGACCCGAGTGTCTCCAGTTTCTGCAGGAGTATCTGCCCTCACTGCACGTCTCTCCTGAAATCACACAGGTTTGTTTCAGCTTTTATTTATTACAACACTAAAAACTACACTAAGCCTGTCTGAGTACATATTATTCATTAACCATGACATAAAATAGACTAGACTCTTATAATATTTACTAGGGATGTAACGGTATCAGAATTTCACGGTACGGTAATACCTCGGTATGAATGTCACGGTACGGTATTTATTGAATCATTTACAGGAAAAAAAAAACTTTTGAAAATACTCCAAAAAAGTGCCAAAAGTGTCAATGACATACAAATTAGCCATCTATCTGTTAGCTTTGAAACAGGAACTTCAATTTTAATAACAAAAAAATTATTAAACCATGTAAAAAAATAAAGTTTCAATTTAGTATTGTTGAAAACTCATCACATTTAACATTTAATCACTCACTTAGATAGAGATGGGTTTAAAGAAAAATTATCATATAATTATAATCTGGTAAAAGCTGGTATCTCTGGGTTATTTACAATGTCCCCTGCAACAGAAAAAAAACCCTCTCATTTGGGACTGAGGTTTCTGGGACAAGAGAGATATGACTTGGCCCATGTTGACAGCAGTGGGGTAACGTTGTGCATTGTCTTTCCCCCACTTGAGAAGACAAACCATGAGTGAGATAGAGATCTCTTTGCGGTACAAGTCAATGTCTGCATCAATCTGAACAGTGTGCTGTGTTTCTGCAGTCCCCATGACTGTTATTAGTCGTATTCCCCAACTTGCAGGCACGTGCACACATAGGGCTCAACCTGTGCAGTGCACATGCCCTTTTTAGTCTTGGATAGAAAATGCCCTTCCAAAACGATCAAAAGTGCCCCCGCGACGCGACACAACCTCCGTCCAGTCCAGCCCTTCAGTAGGCGCCCGACAACACCTCTCTTGAGTATGCGCGCTCAACCCCGCCTCGGCGCTTTACAATACGCGCGCCACAACAGCTGATCAGAACGCGCGCGACAGCACCGCTATTCAGCACGCGCGCGGCGACAACACCCGCTTTAGGTTCGATCATTTCCATCTTTTTTTCATCTCCGCTACTAGCAGCACACTCCATTTCCGCATTACTGGATCTGTAGCGACAACAGACCGCAAAGGATTATGGCCACGCCGGGGCTGATGGGAAATGAAGTTTTAGCTACCTCCCGTTCGCTTCATTCGCCTGAGCAAATTTTCTCTGAAGACCTATAGTTTTACCGAGTCATGCGACTTCGGTAATATCGAAAAAATTTAATATTGCGGTATGACGGTATTTACAATACCGTTACATCCCTAATATTTACTATTTATAGAGCACACATTGAAATTGTTAGCACTTTTAATTATGTAAGTTTGTAGACATGCCTATGGAGTATTCACCATCCAGACAAATGTCAACACATATGCAAACATGATCTTAACAAATTAAAATGCTCTTAAATTGAGGTAAACCTTTTAATAATTATCAGAATATTTTCTCCACACCTAGAGAGCATTCATACGTCTAATGTTGTTTTTGATTCAACATTATAATGACTTTAAGTTTGTTTTGGGGCTTATCTGAACAATATCTATGTAATAATAATGCTGTTGTTTCTGCAGACTGCAGTATATGAGTGAATGTGTGATGATGGTGTTGTTTCTCCTCAGGAACTGTGTCAAGTGCTTCAGCAGCCGGATGTTAAAGTCCTGAAAAACTACATGAAGGTATTTACAGTTTTATTATGAAAACATCATGCATGTATTCTGCAAATAACAAGTCTTTCTTTAAAATAAGGTCTTTGCACACTGAAGTCTGAAGTTTTAGTATGCGTATCAAAGCACACTCACAAACCGACACACAAAGTCTGATGTGTATTGCAGGGTGTCCGCAGGGTCTTCAAAAGTATTAAAAGTTCATAAATCAATAATAAGAAAAAAAAAGGCCTTTAAAAAGGTTTAAAAAGTCTTTAATTTTGTTCAAGCATTGTCCAAAGTGTTTGACTAAAATGTAAATAAATATATTGATTTTCCTCCTAATATTAACATATTATTATGATCAGGCTTCTGGCCAAGCTCCTCCGTCCGGGTAATTGTAACAAACGCTGGAAGGTGATGTGACGCTCTCCACATGTAGGGAAGCGAAACCAACAGCAAAATGGGCAAATGTAGGTTTGCGTACTCCTGATTGGAGAAAGACTAGTTTAAACAGTGGCTGAAATCTATCGCTGAAAACAACCACGTAATTTAATCTTTCAAGCGTAGTTTCTTCAGAGCTTATCCAAGTTCTCTTGTGCTCCATTGATTTATTAAACTACAACTGTTCATTAACACCTGTTTATAAAGTTAAAGCTTTGATACTGATTAGAACTTGAAGTGGCGACGAGGTCCTAAAATATTCTGAGAAGGCCTTTTAAAGTGTTAATACGGATTTGAAATTACCTTTAGGATTCCTGCTTATACCCTGTATTAATTAATCCGTTATGAAATAATTCGCACAACAATGCAGTCTTACAGTAGTGAGGAGGATTTTGTTGTCTTCTCCTGCTTAGCAAAAGAAGAAATCCTTCCCATTCTTAGATTGTGGAGAAAGGAAGGAGATCCACCTCTTTATATAATCCTCACACACTTCGCATTTACTTCAGGATGTCCACGGCTCCGTCACGACTTTGCTAGAAATACTGGAGGTTCGTTTATCTGACGCCATTTTGGATTTTACCGATTGTACGGCGGCCATGAAATGTCTAAACACCTTTTCAGATGGGAAAAACTAACCTGATTCTATTTATTTATTTATTATGACGGACACAAGTTTTGGAGGCAGTGTGTGTGTGTGTGTGTGTGTGTGTGTGTGTGTGTGTGTGTGTCAGTACAATTGACACAACGTGAGGTGGAATTTGTTAACCTGCAAAAATTACGGAGAATTTCAGATTCATTATGCAACAACCTTTAGACTGCATTCGAAGGCTTTGTTTGTGTGTTTGCGCAGGTTTTTTTCCAGCAGGCCAAACTTTAAACCTGTAAGTGTGAAGCGGAGGCTGACAGACAGCGCCACCTACAGACCACCATAATGACAGAGCTTTAGCATAGGAGCTACTTTTGCACTTAAAGAAGCTGAACCACACCCATCCTGCCTGCGGGACACCGACCCAACAGGAGTCACGTGGGGATTGGCTGGCACGTGACGTGACCACGCCCCCACACTGACCTTGGCCCAATCAGAGTCGAGCTCTCCACAGCGGTTTAGCCACCCAGACTGAAAGTGAGGTCTGTGATCGGACGAGACGGAGAGCCAATGGGGTTTGTGAGGGTGGGGGGCGGGGCTTCTGGACAGAATTTCAAAGGAAATCATTTCCACTTGAAATGCACCGTAATTGTTACAGAGGATTCTGGTGGTTACTAGAACGAGTTTAAATGAAATGTTTATTATTTCTTCCTTTTGCGTGCGCGAGAAATCAGATTTTTTTTTTCTCAAAGTTCTGTTTAAGAAGGGCCTGATTCAGATTATTTAATTTAGTTGTTGTTATTTTTTAATTTGTAAAAATGAAGCATAGGTTTTAGTTTGAGGTGATGATGAGGTTAATAAATGGAAGTGCTCTTGATGCAGACTCGACATGGCAGAAATGCTTTTTTTTATGATTATTAATTTTGAATTGCTGCTGGACGATCTGCAAACTGCAAAAAAAAATCTAATTTACTTTGTCTTGTTATAAGTCCAAATATCTAAAAATTCTTTAAGCATTTTCTTGACAAGCAAACAAATATTTTGTGTTAAGAATTGAGTATAGTATGTTTTCCTTAAAATAAGCTAAATAATCTGGCAGTAGGATTTAACTTTGAAAAACAATATTTTGCTCACCCCATTGGCAGATTATATGTTGTTTTAAGAAGAAACTCCTGCAATTGTGACACTTTATTAATAAAAAGTAGGAAATATGTTTGTTTTTTTTGTTTTTTTGTCTATAAAATCCTTCTGGATTTAAGAATCTTTATATATTTGGATTAGAAAAGACCAAGTAAAAAAAGCAGTTTATTTACAGTGCAGTCCCTCTTTTTATGGCATTCCCATCATATAAAGCAAATGCTGTACTGTAACTGGAACAAATCAAACACTAAATGTTGACCCATTAGCTGTTGTTTAATGCCTTTAAAGCCCATCTGAAATATGCAATGTGTGCAACTGTGAAAATACTGCTGCGGTGTCCATGTTTACACTGCTGTTTGCTAAGTAAACACAACTCACAGCTGAAGCCTGTACCATGAAACTGAATCAGCCAGATTACTTTCAGTTTAGTTTGCAATAAAATCTTGGGGTTTAGGTAACATGATGTCAGCCGGACTTGTGACTCTTTGTTGCCATGCTAGCATGGAGCATCAGAGCTGTTATCTAAAACCCAAGATTATTGCAATCTGAACTGAAGACTAACCAGCTGATCCGGCTTCAGATCTCTGCACAAACATCTGTCAAAATGAAACAGAAGTGTTATTGCTGACAGAATGAATTTGTTGTTGTTGTGTGTGTGTTGGATTATTAATTCAGCCCTGGTTCCTGAAAGCCATCAGACGACACACACATTGAGGATGATGGTAGGAAACACCATGCTAACCCCATAAATGCAGCACTTGATGACTGTAAAGGTCGTTTCAGATGCGGTGCAGAGATGCTCCAGTCCTGCTGCTGGTGGTCAAACCCAGAGTTTATGCCAAATAAGAGGAGAAAGAGAGAAAACATGCGCCAGGTAGACTCAGTATCTGTGTGTAAAGCTGATTTATTTTTGATATGCCGGGACGTGCCCCCTTCACTCCCTCTGTGGATGTTTTTGTCATGACCAATAAAGTATTTACTAATCTCAGCTTGATTTCCAGCGTAATCCATTCCACACGGAGACGGTCTGATAATGGAGACTTTTATTTTGACGTAAACATGTCTTGTGCACCCTTCACCCAAAACCAAACACAGGTGACTCTTCAGCCGGTGTAGTAAGTGCAGAATGTGTGAATGTCGGCTCTTCAGCTGTGATGTTTAACCTTTAATCACAGCGATGGGTCTGAGTTTGATGGCTTTTTTACTGATGCCGGCATCATGGCATGTGTTCACCACGTCTGTCACGTTCTTGTAGGACTCAGGAGCCTGAAAGCACAAGATCGATGTGAGTACGTTTTCATTTTTGGGTGAACTGTTCACTTAAACACAGGGTTCACACGGTCATGAAAAGCCTGGGAAAGTCATGGAATTTTTACAAGGCATTTTCCAGGCCTAGAAAAGTTTTGGATAAACAGAAAAACCCACAAAGTTTTGGAAAAGTCATGGAAATTAGTTTAACAAATATCGGTTAACTTGAATATAGGTTAGTTGTCTTTACTTCTTTTCTGTCTTCGGCATGGTCTCACATTATGAATGCTGTGCAAGCACTCATTTATCTTCGGCTTAGTCTTAATTTCAGAGGTGGCACAGTGGGAAAGAACCACCATGTGTAAGCATTATCTAAATAAATCTTGCATACAATAGATTTAAAAAAGTAAATTCAAACTAAAAAGATTGTTGTGTGTTTTATGATATACTAAAATACATTAAAAGTGTATTGTTTTTATTATTATTTACCATGTATGCAAAGACAAAGTAAATTTTCATGACTTAATGATTTGTGAAGTCCTGGAAAAGTCATGGAATTTTAGTAGTAAATGTGTGTGAACCCTGTAAACATTTTACTCACTTCGCTTGTCTCATGTCTCTGTCTTCTGTTGAACACTGAAGATGATCTACTGAAGCACAGCTGGAAACCGGTAACCATTGACTTTTTATAGTATTTGGTTTTTGCTATTTCTGCGCAGAATTGTGTTTAACATCTGTGGAATTATTTTGGGAGTATCATAACTAAAACTTTAAATATATGAAATAAGTAATACCTTTTTAACTTGGATTGAATGTTCACAATGCAAATCCAATTAAATCCACTTTATTGGTAAACGAAGCAAGTCTCTCATATAATATGACTTTACTAACTATATTGTAAATAAATCAGATGAATATTGTCATATTGGTCTATGATGTAAGTGAAATTAATAAAAAAAACGGAATAAATATCAATTTACACAAGTAAATAAACAATCAGTGATGGGCTAATAATCTGCAGAATTCTGCATGGGCCTAGTTATCAGTTTTCAGCATTGCTTCAGTATTTCATCTTCAGTGTTCAACAGAAGAAAGACATTTGGGTTTGGAACAGGTGAAGGGACAGTAAAGGATAATCACTTTCAGTTTTGGGTGAAGTGTGCATTTTAAAAGCAAGTTTTTAAGATAACACTTGAACTCTGGTCTCTCTGAACACCTTGGTGATTTGTATCAACACCTTTACCCACTGGGCTTTTGGTGCCGACTACATTTTTCAGTTTTTCTCAAAATATATTTATCATTATTTTTTATTATAAAGCAAAAACTGTAATTGCACAATAAGTTATACTTATATATTGGACTTCCATTTCTTTCCCAAAGGTTATTTAACAGATTTGTTCAACACCATTAGTAAACTATTATAAAGGGATAATTCCCCAATAATGAAAACATTGTAAATGATCAATTTCTTAGTGATCGTTTGCCTTCACAAGAACTCAGTCTGTCATCAGTAGTCGTGACTGTTGATTTGGACTCATTTGTATGTGTTTAATTTTAAAAACCGGTCACCATTCACTGCCATTATATGAAGCACCAAGAACAACCGATTCAGCTCAATCCTCTCTAATGTTCTACTGAAGAACAAAGTCACCTACATCTCAAATGACCTGTGGGTGAGTCAATTAAAAGGAGATGGTAACTTTTGGGTGAGCTATCCCTTTAATTTCTACTTTGATTTATCTTTGCCATGATGACCGTACATCATATTTCCTTTGTTATTTACTATAAGACACTAATGCTCAGCTTAAAGTGACATTTAAAGTTAACAGTAGTGTAATTTAAGTAATTGGACAACAGTGATTTGTTCTGTAGGCAATCAGATGAAAGACTCACCTCCTCCATCACCAGCTTCGGTGACGCCACCCTAATAGCGATGCCCATGTCTGCCAGTTTATCCAGAACATCCTGGAAGTCCAGGTTGCGTCTGGATTTGGCTCTGGATAAAGCTCGACCCTGCAGAAACACAAGCACAGGTTGATTCATGAACACACACACAGTACATAAGTGTGTATACTCATGATCATGTGACTCACAGCGCCGTGACATGTGGTGCCGAACGTCTCTGTCATGCCCTGCTCTGTGCCTGTGAGCACGTAACTGCAGGTGCCCATGGTTCCTCCAATCAGGACTGGCTGACCGGTCAGCTGTAGACACACACTTCAGGTTAACATAGGCCTTCATGATGAATATATATATATATATACAGGTGAAGTCAGAATTATTAGCCCTCCTGTTAAGTTTTAATCCTTTTATAATTTTTTTTTACCCTCAATATTCTGTATTACATTACTAATTGTACATTAAAATTGTATAGTAATGTCAGTATTTTTCCAATATGGTGGTGTTTGTTAAAAACTGGGTGAGCAGAAGAGTGTGTTTTGCATATGTGTGCGTGTTGCTCACCTGATAGTCTACAGGTATGAGTGGATGGTGTGGAGGAAACGCTCTGGTCGAGCCCTTCCTATGCACCAGCAGTGTTTTCTGCCGGCCGTCCACCATGTGCTCCTCCACTTTGGCGATGTTGTGCGAGACGTCGTAGATCACGTGCATGTCCAGATCATCTGGTGTGGTGCTGAACACTTTGGAGAACGCCTGAGGGTTGAAGGTAAACAACTCAAACACTCCATCCCACAATGCAACACAAGGGTATTTACATTTAGAAAAGTTATTGTTCGGATTGACTCCGCTTTGGTGATGTTGGTGTCTGTTTTTGCTTCATTGACTTCTATTATAATCACGTTTTTTAATTGCGAAGCCATGACAGCAGATGATCATGCATTCTTGGTTGATGCTGGTTTTCCCTGTTGGGAAGAGACGGTGTGATTTTTCTCAGACATATGAATGCATGATTATCTGCTGTCATGGCTTTGCAATCAAAAAATGGGAATATAATAGGAGTCAATGGAGCAAAAACAGCATCACCATCATCAAAGGGGGGTCAATTTACCAAGAGTGTATTACAGTTACAAAGCATTTTCCCAAAATATGCATCTAAATAAGATTTGTCACTAAAAAATAATCTCATTAGCTCAAACACAAAGTTGTGGCCAAATTAAGGAAGTGGAACAAGTAAAAGCGGAGAAAATTACAGAATTACTTCTTAGTTTCGGGTGAACTAGTGCTGTAATTTTAATTGTTTTAGTTTTAGGTACAGTAAAATAAGTATTCTGGTTGATGTGCATTTGTAAAACAAGCTGAGGAAAATTGTAGATATGATGTTAAATCCAGTTATTATGCATTAACCTGTCGTGTGAGGAAGGTCATGGAGGATCGGTTGACCCAGGCGTAGTTTCCTGCTGCCGCCATTCCCTTCAGATAATCCTGGCCCTCCTCTGACGTGATGCGCGCGCACGCTAGCTGCCGGTCGTTCACTGTGATGCGGTCGCGCTTCATGGCCTTCTCCATTGCCACCAGGGCGTCTGCAGCAGAGAAACAAAGTCAGAAATGAACCGTATACCCACAATAGTACATTTGAGGAAGCATTATGAAGTGCACTCAACCTCACAATGCACAGCAATATCTGAAATCGCCCCATCTACCCTCAATAGTGCACAATTTGAGGAAGCATTATGAAGTGCACTCAACCTCACAATGCACAGCAATATCTGAAATCGCCCCATCTACCCTCAATAGTGCACTATTTGAGGGAGGATTATGAAGTGCATTCAATCAAGCCCTCGATGCACAGCGATGAGTCTAGTACTAGTGCACTATTTGAGGGAGCAGCCACTTCTAGTGGTGTTTGAAATCATAGTGCACTCAAGCAATCCCACAATACTTTGAGCACTAAAACAAAAGTAGTAACATAACAAATGACTAAAACTAAATATAAATGGTTCTCTAAATTAAAATCATTAATGAAACCAGATAAAAGTGAAATGTACAGCATATTTAAACTCTTATATCGTTATTAAAACTAATGTATTTTGCTCTGGTAAACTACAACTACTAAAAGTAGATGTATAGAAACTACAAATAAATGTTTCTCAAAATAAAAACTAGAACACAACTAAACAAAAACCCTTACACAAGCTCAAACTGACATGTACAGCATATTAATAAGTCGTGTATCGTGTAAAAGCAGTGATGTTGTTCCTCACCGGTGGCCACCTGATGTCCGAGTCCTCGGCTGCCGCTGTGGATCATCACACACACCTGCCCTTTATGATCGATGCCCATCTTCTTGGCGGCGTAATCATTGTAGATCTCGTCCACCACCTGAATCTCTGCGTAGTGGTTTCCTGCACCCAGAGTTCCCAACTATAGGAGACACACAAGGCTTAACGATCATACATGCAGCGGAACGAGTGTTTTTGTTTTTACTAGCTTCTGGTTGAAATGTGAAGTTTGTAAATGTAAAATTGTGGTTGAAATGTAAATGTTCAGCAGAAGAAGTCGGGAAAGCATGATTTAAGAATCATTTTCGGATAGAGTGGGGATCTTTTGGGACTTCGCAATCCTCGTTAATGTAGTTTTTGCATTTTTTATTTTCCCATCATGCACCTGTGGCAGTCCTCTCTTCTTGGCTTTGGAGGAGACTTTGTTTGGGTCGGCCTGCAGCATGCGTCCGTACTCCTCACAGTGCTCTTTATCCTCCGCCCAGGCGTATCCCTCCCTCAGAGACCAGTCCACACCCATCTCCAACGCCTCCTCCAGGTCCCTACACACACACACACACACACACACACACACACACACACACACACAGACTGTACTGCAGATCCTCTCATTCACTTCAGCAGTTTTACGTCTTAGATTTTTTTATATTTGTTTTTTTATTAATATTTTAAGATTAATTCTTAATGTAATGTATTTTTTTTATTTAATGCCATGCCAGCAACCAAGGCTATTTTCATGGCAGGAACATTTCAATAATAAATGATATACAATTAAAAATCAACAAACAAATGAATACATAAGTTAAATAAGATTTTTAGTGTTTAAATTATAAAAATTCTACAATCTTTTCTGGTGTCACTTTGCTAAGAATGTCCTTAAGAGAGTTCATTTCATTAAAGTCTTCTTAAAATCCATTAAAATCAGTAAAATGTGTTTTACAGTAAGGGGAATTGTGCAGCACAAACACTGAGTAGGGTTTTCATCTTGGAGCAAAAAACTGGGGGTTATTTTTGTACCATTAATTCTTAAATTGTTATGGTCATCTATTGTTTTTATTATTATTATTATTATTATTTAGTGTTTATGTTAGTGTAAATTAATAAATGCAAAAAGTACTTTATTCTTCTACATGAATTCTGTTTTATTTCGTGTTTGGGTTATTAATTTTGTATTTGCAGTTAAATAAATGCAAATTTATACTTGTGTTGCATTTATTCTCAGATTTTTATGATTAGTTAATTTTTTTTATTTAGTGTTTAGGTTATTTATTTATTTGCAGCAGTCAGCAAGCAAAGTAAGACTTGTGCATTTAAAGTATCACACACATTAACCCAGACGTGTGTGTTTGCATTGCACAGACTGAAGCTGACTGCATGCACAATCTGCTAATGAACGAATAAAAACTGGAGCTCAGGCTTCATATAGTCATGAAAACCTGGGAAAGCCATGCAATTTTGACATGGCATTTTTCAAGCCTGGAAAGGTTTTGGAAAAGTGATGGAAAACAGATATCTGTATACTTGAATATAGGTCAGTTGTCTTGACTTCTATTCTGTCTTTGGCCAGGCACATACTCTCACATTATTAGTGCGGTGTAAAATGATGATCTAAATCAATTTACATAGATATACATGTAAATAGATTGCTGTGTTTTATAATATGCTGTAATACATTTGAACATGCATTGTTTTTCTTTTACCACGCATATGCAGACATTGCATGAAAACAGGTCATGAAAATTGACTTGAAAGTCTTGGAAGCGTCATGGAATTTTAGTAGTAAAAATGTGTATGAACCCTGGGAGCTGATGTTGGGCACAGGTGTAAAACTGTGTGCGTTTCTGCAGTGTTTACTTTGCACCCATAGGAATGACGCCCTTGGAGCCGACTCCGACAGGGATGTGGTCGAAGAGAGACTGTGCCAGCTGCTCCTTCACCGGCTGAACGTCGCCCTCATCCAGGTTTGTGCGCAGCAGACGAACACCACAGTTAATATCGAAACCCACACCGCCTGAACACACACACACACACACACACACACACACACGGATATTTAATGATGAAATATCTCAGGATAACGAACAAGCACATTATTAGCACATACCTGGAGAGACGACTGCGTCCGGATTCTCCATGTCGAACGCTGCCATGTTCCCGATAGCGAATCCGTATCCTGAGTGAACGTCCGGTAAACCGATCGACCGCTGCAAAAACACTCAGAGTGAGAACTGAGCATAGGTGCATGATGAGCTGATCAGGACTGTGTGTTTAACTCACGTGCACGATTCCTGGCAGAGCGGCCACATTCCCAATCTGCTTCATCGCAGGTAAGAAACCTCCAAACCCTGTGCAAACACCAGATAATGTTGAGAAGTTATTAGAACAACTACTTTAATATAATGCACAACTAAAGTGGTGACGCTGTGATGTGGCTGGTTTACTTTAGTGTGCATTATTTTCCAATTTTGCATTATTCTACTTGTATATCCAGTTCAATAATGGTGTCAGTTTTGGATCTTCAGTTGTGAAGTGAATTGAGTTCAGCAGTAAAGCAGCTCTATTAGAGAGGAGTGTTGTTATTCTGCTCTTTAGCTCAGTGTTGATTCAGTTTAATTCAATAACAGTGTTAGTGTTGTGAAAATCAATCATGAAACAAACTGAATTTAGTGAAAGAAGTGGCAGACTGTTGCTGTTATTCAACTCTCTTTTGTTCAATGTTGATTCAGTTTAATTCAATAACAGTTACTGTAAAAATCAATAATGAAATTAAAGATTTAGGTTAAGCAGTAACGTTTATTATTCAGTTCATTGCAGGTGCTGAGGTGTGCCTGGTTTTCTAATAATCCAACAGTTTAGAGTCAGTCATTGTGCTTTTCCTCAGTTCAGGTTCAGCTCATATAGTGACTGTGTGAGGGTAATGTGTCATGCAAAAGGTGTGTTTTATGACATAAAGCTTGTGTGCTTTAATAACATGTGTTTTTCTGTGTTTATCAGTGGTTGTAAAGTCAACGCAATCCGTTCCACAACTCTCCATGCAAATACTGAGGCTGAACACCAGAGCAGGTAAACCTGAGCGACTCAAAGCAGGTCTAAAAAGGGTTTAAGCATTAAAACAATAATACAACTCTCGTACAGATTGTATAAATTATCATCATAATATAACAATTACAATTGATTTAAAGGAATGCATAAACTAAATGTATGCATAGGAAGATAAAAATACATGGAGAACAAATGTTCATGTAAAAACGTATTCAATGATATAGGTAAATAGTTAATGAACAAAGCTTTAGTTATAGGTTATAATGAGCTACATTGTTGGTCTGATTCGGGTAGCTTTACATGAACAAATTCAGACATTCTCCTTAATATAATTTCAGAAAATTATTCTTTGCAAAATATAAATTGGGAAATCATATTAGCAGCCAACGACTATCAAAGTACAACCATGTTTATAGTAAATTAGATAGTGTTGATGTTTTGAAGTCATACTAGCATACTAATTCTGATTAACTATTCAAATTAGCAATGTAAACAATATACAGACAATTAAATGAACAAATGTGCGAATAAAAAAGCCAACTTTACCTCTATCAAAGGAATAATAAACTGTAAAATTATTTTAGGCCTACAACAGTGAATTGAAGACCTTTTAATGGCCTAAATTTAATTTCTGAAATGTAAAGACGACTTAATAAACCGTAATGGGTGTTAAATGTAAATGTAGCAAAACATCTTGCACTTTTATTTGACTCATTTAAACACAGTAACTCTATTCTCATCGCTGTTTATTGATATGAATGACTGAATATTAGTTGTTACGGAAAAGCAGCTGTTGTTGCATCACCTCCTCCGCGACAGGCGTTTCTCAGCTCCTCGAACATCAGCTTTTCCAGCGGGTCATTGACATAAAACACTCCTTCCACCTGAACACAGCACAGAGACAGCTAAATACACGACATTAATTCGCAAAACCACCATCGAATGAGGAGCAATCTGAATGGAAAACAGTTTGACAGCTGCATAAACAAACAAAACAACACAAAATCAGCACATAGACGCTAGATAATAAAGTAAAATATGACCAATTAATAAAACACCATTGATTTTGATGATAATGTAAAGCCGACATGTTTTCAGTTAGTGTGTTTTTGACAGCTCTTTTACCAGCATATTCGGCACGAAACCCTTCTTGATCCGCCAGCAGTTTTTGTGTATTTTATCCAGATACTGGAGCTCATCGTTGTAAGAGCGACTCATTTTTATTGTCAATTATCAACGCAGATTTTGACAGCGAACTTTCTCTACACGTTACGCCGACTCGCGCTCTTCTTCGCTTGTTTTTATACAGAGCTCCCCGGGTTTGTCCAGCGCCGCCTGCTGATCACACTGAATTCAGCAGCGAGCACATACCATATTATGTTTTTTAAATATGTTTATAACTATTTTTTACTTCTACCGTTTTTTTTTAATGATTTAAACTTGGATAATAATTATTTCTTTGATGCAAACTGTTTTATTTAATATGTTAATACATGTACTTTAAGTTTTTTAAGTTTTAAGCACGAAAACTTCTACAAAAATAATGCAATAACAATGATGTTTTTACGGCGTTTTGTATATTAGCCTGAATCTGCCTCTGAATAATAATAAAAAAAAATAAGATAAAAAAATAGAAGATGTTACTGCCACATGCGACTTAATTTCTCAGAATTGCGAGATATAAAGTCAGAATTCTGACTATTAATCGGAATTGCGACTTTATAACTCTGTGCGTTTATATCTCAGAATTATGAGATTAACAACTTAAAAATAAATGTATTCAGTGGCATTGTTGTTTTCTTGTGATCTCCACATAAAAGTTCTCGTTATCGTAACCTTTAATCGTTTCTGCCGTTTCGTATTGTTTATTTACTTTATTAATTTTATTAATTTATTAATCAAAAATAAAAGTCTCCCTTCATAGTCTAGTTGCCCCGACCGTATTGGGACCTTTATTTTGAAGACCTCTATCCACTGTTTTTGTTCGACTGCAGAGCTTCCGGCTTCACTGCGTTACTTTGACGTTTCTGGAAGGTAAGTGATGTTTATATTTTCCTCCAGTTATGTTAAATATGCAGCTGAAACGCACACAGAAGAGGCTTGTCTTTAGTTTGTACTTATTTTAGATCGTCACTCTGAAGTGAGAGCAGTTACACACGCTGACACGCATGAGGCGGTCGGTGAAAGTAAACGCTGAGGATCTGTTGGTTTCCAGTGTCCGTGAAGTGAAAGTGAAAGTGTGTTTCTGTTTGTTTTGTCAGCACAGAATGAAGCTCCGCGTGAGGATCAGCAGACAGACCTGCCGCCTGGAGCTGCAGGGAGAAGAGCCGAGCTTGGCGGAGCTCCGGGCCCGGGTGAGGGAGTCACTGCTGACCCGCTTCGGGCTCCGGTCAGTCTGAGCACCTTCACCAGCTTTAGCACACAGAGAGAGCCTGAACACACACACACACACAGTTAATGCGGTTTAGAAATGCGTGTACACCACCATTATACAGCTGCATGCTCTAAAACAGTGGCTGAAATCAGACTTTTATTTTGTAATTTCAACATGTTGTTTTTATAGTAATATTGTAGTAACAATGTTCCTATTTTGTTAAATCTGTTGCTTTGATTTGTATAATTACACTTGAATTGAACTACCATGTTATATCAATTTAAAATGCTTTTTATTGATTATTGTTAATAATAATAATGTGATGATGATGATGATTGTTTTGTTTTCCTTATTACTGGTGTGATATCAACTACACTGAGCTTTATGCAGTTTCTCTCTCTCTGTGTAGCTCAGATCTGGACTTTCGGCTGTCTCTGAATGGTAAAGAGGATCTGCTGGACACGGGACAGTCTCTCTCCTCCTGTGGCGTCGTCTCTGGTGATCTGATCAGTGTGATTTTACCTGCTAGCAGCTTGGAGGAAACACAGACGAGCAGTGCAGCAGCCCACCAGACACACACAGATCAGCAGGTGACACACACACAAAATAAACAATTACAACCTATTTAAACATTGACTTTAGGAAAAATCCTAATCTGTGTCTGAACTCATTTTATTATTATTTATTTTAAAGATCCACATTCCCAGCTGTGTTATTTCTCAATTCCTTATTATGTTTAGGCTTTGGTTTGGTTTTAGAAATGTAAACCCCCTCTATGCAGTTCCCAATTCCCATATAACTCACTGTTTACAGTCAATATTATAGTTAAATCCAGAATTTGTGCCCTGGATTTATCCTCATCACTAGGCTCTCGGGACATCAATGGATATGATTGAGTAGATCTTATTATCTCAGTTTGAGCTTTCCCTTCTCTGAAGTTTTGTTTCGCTGCATAGACAGACACTTGGTGCATTTGTTTGCTCACATACTTTCATACATTGTTGGTATTTCATTAGTTTTGCTGTAATTATAACAGCATCAGACATTTCACATCTCCACCATTCACCTTGATCTAGAAGATGCACAAAGCCTTTCCCTGTGCTTTATTTATAGCTATCAACCTTTTGCAGCTGTGCTCTGACTGCTGCCTCCCATAAACTAGAGTGAGTGAGATGGATCAAGCCAGGACACAAGACCTGATCATTGTGTCATTCAGCCAGCCTCATCGCTACTTTAGTTGTTTTACATATTACGCAATCCTCCATACTGTATCTGTTTGCTGATAGTGACCTATCATACTCTGGTTTTCTCAGTGGTTACGTATCCAGATAAACCCCTAACAATCTTAGTATTCTTCACTGGGTTTGTCTTTATTCATTCATTCATTTTTCTCCACTTTTCCGGGGCTGGTCATGGGGGCAGCAGTCTTAGGAGAGAACCCCAGACTTCCCTCTCCCCAGACACTTCCTCCAGCTCCTCCGGGGGGATCCTAAGGCATTCTTAGGCCAGCCGAAAGAAATAGTTTCTCCAGCGTGTCCTCCCTGAGGCCTCCTCCTGGTGGGACAACACCTCCTTAGGTAGGTGTCCAGGAGGCATCCGAAGCAGGTGCCCGAGCCACCTCAGCTGACTTCTGTGGATGTGGAGTAACCGCGGCTCTACTCTGAGCTCCTCCTGGGTGATAGATCTCCTCACCTTATCTATAAAGGTGCGAAGGAAATTAATTTTATTTGCTGGTATCCGAGATCTTGTCCTTTCGGTCATGATTCAATAGATGAGAGTTGGAACGTAGATTGAGCAGTAAATCGAGAGCTTTGCTTTTCGACTCGGCTCCTTCTTTACCACAACAGCCTGGTACATCGACCACATTACTGCTGCACCAATCCACCTGTCAATCCCACGCTCCAATCCTTCCCTCACTCGTCAACAAAACTTTCCTCCAACATGGAGATGGCAAACCACCTTTTTCCGGTGGAGCAGCATGGCCTCAGAGGTGCTGATTGTCATCCCAGCTACGTCACACTCAGCAGCAAATCACTCCAGTGCATGCTGAAGATCCATGTTCGATAAAGGCAACAGATCAACAGGTTTTTCTTCAAATGTTGGAATTATCTCTGTCATTATTTTTCCTTTTTTATTAGATCTCGGAGACTCCAGACGCTGCTCGCTTCTAGTTGAACTGTAGTTTTAGATGGCAGGTATACCTTAATCCTCTGTGGCCAGATTTTGTTTAATTGTATGTCCATTTACTTTCCTTTTGTATGTACATATGCAGTATCTCCTACCTTTATCTGGCTTTCTTCCTTTCAAAGAGCATCTTCTTTTACAGGTATTGACAAATTTCAAGCAATCAATTACCTGCTCATCCCAATGTTTTTCCAGATTTTTGATGAACTATGCCTTTGCTTCTTTCATAATTCTTTCAGCTATACTATTGCTAGCTGCTTGCTCTTTTACTGATTTGATCAATTTTACTCCCTCTCTTTTTTTTGGAAGTTGTTTTACTTCACTGCCTGTATTTATGTGAGCATTATTTCCCTCACCCCATTCGTCTTTTCTGTGGACCACTCGGCTCTGCAGCTCTTTCACATGGGTATATTTGTGTGTAATTACTGGCATTGTCTGTTATTAGGAGAAATAACAATTGTTGTTCTTAATCTGAGGGGTAAGAGCTCCAGCATAATCCATGCTTATTTCATCATTTTCCTGATCAGTTTGTTATAGATCCATAATCATTGTTACGTGAGTCCATTGCATTTCTGTAATTCCCACCATTCACTTTTATCCTATGATATTCTGTCTGTAAGAGTTGTATTGTAATTAGCCCTAAAGCATGACTGTAGAGTGCTCAATACTTTGTCGTAGGATGTTTTAATTGTAAGTGTAATTTACCAAGCAAGTCTTTTTGACTCCTTTTTTGTGATAGCCCGTCTCTTCATACACACCTGTCCATGTCTTTGTTTCCTATCGCAGCTGTAGAACTTTTGTGATGTGTGGCTGGTTTGATGAAGATCCGTTGGTTTAATCTGTCCCATCAGCCTCTCTATCGCTCTTTAATCACTGGTTTGTTTTAACTCCTTCCCCTTGGAGGTGCTAAAGGCATTATCTTTCCATGCACTCAGGGTTTCTTCCGCTGCACTGTCAGTTACTATATAACGCTCAGCATCACTTCAGCTGCTTGGGCGCTCTGTCCCATGTTTAAACTGCCTTTGTGTGGGTCTGTGATTAGGTTTTTCATCCTTTCCTTCTAATCCACCCCGTTTTATCTGGTTCACTTGTTCCATCAGTGTAGCAGCAGACTTTATTTATTGGCATTTTTGTGTTTTTTTTTTTCTCCTTTCTAGGAAGGTTTTGGGCTTTAAAACTAAACCTTGTGTCCTTCAAGAGTATCAACCATCTTGCAGATGTGAGAGAATGTACTCGTTTCTTTTCGCTTATTAAGTTCTTGGCTTCTTCACATACTATTTGATCAATCCTCTTTCCATTCGCTTTCACAATTATCCATTGATGTAAAGTGAGGTTTTTAAGGGTCAACAATAATGTAGCAGGTGAGGCCAATATGTCAGCACCAGTGAAATCTAGCAGTTTTAGCTGCCTTACTATTTGAGAGGAAGCTGACAGGGTGTTTCTGATTCTTATTGTATGGAGTTATTTCTATTTCATCTTCTGAATTGGCAATCTTTGCCCTCAAATTTTTTGTCTCATCTCTCTTTACCTTTCGACTGTTATTCAGTGCTTCATCTATTCGTTTAGCCTTCATCTCTAAAAAACTCTTATTCCATTTTAAGGTGCCTCATTTTGAAGCGTCATAAAGAAGTTTTGCATGTTTAGCATGCCCTGGGATTGAATCTCTTAAAGTTTAATGTACCAAGCATGCTCTGAAACTCTTTCA